CACATGAGAAAAGATAAGGTTAAAAGAAATCTCTTGTTAGTAATGATATACGAAGGCCACACTCTTCAAACCTCTTGAAGTGGCAAGCATTCAGTTATGTTGTTCTCCTGCCCAGAGTGGTATTTGCTGTTTCAGAACATTAAGAATGTAATAAGCTATTGACAGGCACATCATAAATTGATTTTTATATTACCTCCTGTCTGAGACATTGGGTCACATATAATTGATGAGGGCGTTTTGGCTATTTACTGCTTCTGAGCTGAAAGGAAGGCACTAGGCCTCATTACGTGGACATCCAGAATTCAGTAAGTTGCCAAATACCGTAGTCAAAAACTGGGAACCATGTAAGATTTTCAAGTTACCTAGTACACCATGGTCAACGTTAGTCTTGCTCAGTCCCAGAATACTTTCTGAAACTTCAATAGATATAGGCTTTGTTTTCTCAAACTATAAGGTGCTCCATAACTTTAAGGACTAATCACTTTATTTCTACAACAAAAATGATAATTTCCAGTATTTGTATAAAGCTGTAGCATTTGATTTCACAGTGGCATGTTATTTGCAGAGCTCTTTGTCAAGAACAGTAATGCAGATTTCTAGGAATTCTATTACCTACCCTTGACTTATTTTGCAGTAGAATTTATTTTGCAGTATGGGCTATCGATTTACTTGAAAATTTAAGGATACTTCCTCCCTTTTCCTTAAACAGTGCAAACTGCTATCTTTTCTAAAAGTGGTGTGAAGTATCTAGAGAAAGTTTGCCTCTGCTTTCCTTATCAAGTCTTATTACTCTGAACAGTGATCGGGTGCCTTCTAGTGGGTAGATATAGATATATAGATATAGATATATGCTGTTAAATTTAAGTGAATGCTAAATATACAGAGTGGATATGCATCTTATATGCAGACCAGAATGTTGTAACCTAATGTAACAATTTGCTGTTAAATAGCAGACACCTATTTGTGTCACATATAGATTGCATTCTTTCAGTTATCAAACCTCACTTGAGCTGGATTCTACTAAATTTTTAAAATGAGATTAATTGTAGCCTAAATCTAGGTTATGACATCATGATCATGGCATATGTTCAGACATTTAGAAAGTTTGCTGTTATGTGATATTCTCTCAATGAATCATGTTTATGGTAGTTTCACTTTACAATTTAGTGACCACAGTTGGGACTGGCAACTTGGTGGTTAAGCAAAGCAGTCACTAAGTGAAAAAATGACTGTGCGTATGATTTTACTTCAGCTTTCTCTTGCTTTACAAACCTGCAAAAGTCATAAATATGAGGACTGGTTGCAAAGTTACTTTTTCATCACAGTTGTAACTGCAAACGGTCACTAAATAAGTCAGTCGCTAAATGAGGATTACCTGTATATATTATACAGGGTTGTAATTAGTTTTCCTAACTTCAGAACATTTGCCATAAAACATATAACTTAATTTAACCAAACTGAGAGAATCCAGAGGAATAAAAACCACCAGTATGCCTTATGATCCATTGGATATACACTCTAGCAAACAATGAGAAATTATAGGTATAAGGAGAATACATTGGTCAGTTTCCAGTCCATATCATTTCTCATTCATTCATTCATAGTTCATGCATCCCATTTTCACATTAATCTACAGATTGTTTTTAACCAAAAAAAAAGCCTCCTAAAAATTTGCATTGAAGTGCATATTTAAATAATTTCAAATGTATTTTCTTTCAAAAAGCACATTTCTTATGCCAAAATAAAATCTATATCTATCTATATCTATATCTATCTATCTATCTATCTATCTATCTATCTATCTATCTATCTACACATACATTTGAATCCACTGTATATTTTTAAAGTCTAAAATTGCATTGCATTTTCCATAAAACTAAAACAATCATTTTTACCAAACTGCAAAATACAAATCAAATCACTTTACAGCAAAATATGCAAATTGTGTATTCTTCTGGAAGGTGCTCAGTTTTCTGGGCCTTGGAGAAGATCTCATAAAGTTCTCTAGGTTCTCTAGATCCCAGTTATTAATAGAAACTGGATCAGCAGGCTCTGCTTGTCAGATTCATAGGGCCCCTGATCCTCACATTCAGAGCCAATATTCTAGCCAACTCCTTAACTGTCTAGTACACTCTGGTCCACCCTTTGCCCTGATCCTGAAATGAATACAAGAAACTGACCACTCCCTGGCAATATCGCCATGCTTCACAGAGAATGGTTACAAAAGGCATTTCTGTTCCTGATAGTCCTTCAGCTTTGCTTTTGCTTTTTTTCACAGTAACCTATATTGAATATACTGTAATAATAAAGGAGATTCCAAACAAATGATGCCTGTCCACACTGATCAGTGGGAATCAAAGGGGGATGACTTATGAGGTCCCTTAAGGGAAAGGAGTACAACATTTCAAGGCATACGGTAAAGAAGTATGTCAGGAAAAAGGAGCTAGAGAAAAGCAAGAAAGAGGAAAACAATAGTACTTGTTATTCCTATTATAATGTGGCATTCTTACAGCAGGTAAAGAATGTGTCAAATGAAATTTTTTAAAGCTGTTGACTGGGCACCATGTATACATAACCCATGAAATCTTATTACTGTAATATGATCTCTATGACAAAACCAGTTTTAAGGACAACACATTTTACACTGGTCCCTGTGAACTTTATGGACAAATGTGAGACTAACATAACCTCACACATCTGTCCTGAACGTATAATCTGTGCTCATAATTAAAGCTGTCTGTATGTACCAAAAATATTCTCGTTAGATCTTATAATTCATTAGGCTGCTGAGCATAATTGTGGTGTCTGTGATCTTGTCTTAGTGGATGGGTTCGGGCTCACTCTTTTTTCCATTCCTTCAGTTCTACCATTCATTGAAAGTTTGCATGAAATTATATTTTTGTCTTAATCAGGAAGTACAACATGCAGAGTACAGATATAGGCCCAGAACAGAAAGAACTAAAATCACGAAGTGTTCCTTAGAATAGTATTTCACTTGGTTAATCATGAAAATTCATCTCCATCTTTTTGTTGGAAAAGCAAAAGTAATTATTAAAATAGACTTTTTCACCTCCTTTGCAGATAAAATCTCCCCATTAAGTAAGTATATTTAGTTAAATTTTAAAGGGAAAAAATAGAACATGACTCTTGTCCACACTACAGATATGGTACTTATAATCAGAGATGTCGTGCACAGATCTTATAGGTTATCTATATTATCATCATCGATATCTGTGTTTCTGAATTTGCTTTTGATCCTTTGCTGTTGTCTCATGCTTGAATGGTAAATTTTTGAAGCAAATGTCTCCTTTATTTAAAACTGCAATGCAATGCATTTATGTTGGTGGCACTCTTTAGATACCAATGATTATAATAACCATTATATTTCTTCCAAAGGGAGCAGGAGATGTTTTGTAGGCTTCATCACGTTTAAACTAGTGATTCTGCAACAAAGCATAAAGCATAATAAGAGGGACTACTGGAAGCAAATTTAGTAGGTTGAAACCATGGATGTTTTGATAGCAACCTCTAATTGCAGGTTGAGGAATATATTTTAAGCAAGGATTTTATTTGGGATCTTATAAATTCTCATCTCAGCACTGGCTAGGATAAGAAAGTCGCATTGGTTCTAACACTTAAATAACATGTGCATGCCCTCTGTCTCCCCGCCCCCCATTTTGAGAGCCCAATTAGATATGGTATGTGAAATCCATATACCAGGATCACAGTGATGTAGGCCACAGACAAAGCCCCTTCTCTTTTCATTCAATGTGCCTACCACTACCAAAGCTAGAACTTACTCCATAGGAAGAAATATATAGGTATCTATAAAAAACACCTTGAGTATTTTTTCACTCCTACGTTCTAGTAGGAGAGCTGTGTTAGTCCATAGTAGCCCAAAATCAGGAGGAGTCTGGTAGCACCTTTTCAGACTAACATGTTGTATTAAAAGGCATATGCTTTCATGAGCTACAGTTCATGTCATCAGATGCGTGGAGAGGCTAAACTGATGTAAGATTTAAATTGGGATGAAGTAGGGGTGCAGAAGTTATACCTTTTAATAAAACTTGTTAGTTGGATAAGATGCTACCAGACTCTCCTGATTTTTCACACTCAGTAGGTAACTTTCAGCCAGCCACTATCTCATAACTCAATAATTGCTCACTGCATTGTGGTGATAAAACAAAATGAAGAAGGAAGTGCTATGTAAGTTGCCTTGAGCTTCTAAAGGAAAGGTGGGATATAAATCTAATCTATGATACAATATAGTATAATAGCTGACAGCAGCTTCAGGGGGAAGGTGTAGAGTGGGGAAAGAGGTAATGTACCAAACAGCAATGCTTCTGTCCAAATTGATCCTTCTGAGAACTGCTAGTTAATTGTATTTTAAGTGGGAGCTGATAGTAATTCCTCAGTACTTCTAATTTGGCCCAAATCACCGATAGCTGACAGCAGAATAATCTACTGGGTAGGATTTAGAAGCCACAGAATGTGAAAAACTATAGCAAATAACAGCAAACTTTGTAATACATAATTAACTTACTCTAAATCTGCACAACTCATAGACAGGGAAAGGGTCAGACTGATAGATTAAAAATAATAACAAGCCACAAATAATAGCTGGCACACTGAACAGCTGTTGGCTGGCTGGCAGTGTGACTACAGCATTGGAGCTGGCAGCGTCTGTGAGGCCTGAGGCATTGGAGGCACTTGTCAGCATGTATTTTGGGGCAGAAGTGGTTGCGATAACCTTGTTGGCAGATACATCTTGGCAACAGAGACATTTGGTGGCAGTGGATTAGTTTTCAAAAAATGCTGACACACCACACAAGGTTGCTTGGTGGGCTGCATGTGCATTCCCGCTCTAAACAGTCAAAATTGAGCTTTTTTAAAGAAGTGAGCAAAGATGTTGAGTATCAGGGTCCAGCGTAATCTCAGATATTGTTACATTCAGTCAAATGTGGTCTACTTCTCTTATTTCCCTTTTTCTCCCCTTACAGCTGTCTGGAGGATGTGAACTAACGGTGGTGCTGCAAGACTTTGTTGCCAGTCATAGCAGCGAACTGAGCATCCAGGTGGGACAGACTGTGGAGTTACTCGAAAGACCAAGTGAACGGCCAGGCTGGTGTCTGGTACGGACCACGGAACGGAGCCCACCTCAGGAAGGTCTGGTTCCCAGCAGTGCTCTCTGCGTCTCCCATTCCCGGAGCAGTGTAGAAATGGACTGCTTCTTCCCATCAGGAAAAGGTAGGCATCAGATGAGGTAGATTTCATCAGCCAGGTCAAATGTTTTTGATGATCATTGCTCTCTACATCTATTCATCTTTTCACATTTGTCTGCGTAGGGAAGATGATAATCTGTGTGTGTTTTGTTTGTTTGTTTGTGCTGGGGAAACTGATTTCATTGCACCAATCAGCCAGCCCTCATATCAATTGTAATTCCACTCTCCCTCTTTCTGGGTTGTAGCACTAATTAGCTTGCCCTTGTAACAGTCACAAAAGGAAAATCTTAAATTATTATTATTAGCATCGTCATCATCAACAGCAACATCAGATTTTTTTAAATAGATAACAATATTTGCAACTTTGGATTAGCTATTTCAAAAGCAAACTGGAAGCACCTTAGGGAGGTGAGGAGGAAGAAAAGTAGCTTTTGACTTGGAGAAAGAAGCTGATAGAGAAATGAAAACAGTAAAAAGCAACAGAAAAAAAATCTAAAAGCTAAATTAATTCCTCTTGATGTATACAAATGTGCAAATAAGAGTTCCCTTTAAAATATCAATCTATCCTTCCATGCTTCAGCACAAAAAAAAAAAAATTATACCACTTCTATAAGTAGAGCATAGTTTCAATAGGTATCTGACCTTGAGCTCCCAACCATTAACTATTTCTCCTTGAGAAAAGAAGAAAATTTCCACCTGTTCTTTATGAAACCATGCAACCCATACCCATAAGGAAAATTCAAAGTGCAATACAGACAGTCCCCTGCTTACAAACAGGCTACGTTCCAAGAGGCTGTTTGTAAGTCCGTTTTGTTCATAAGTCCAACCAAGTAAAAAGAAAAAAAAAAGAGGCGGAGGCAGGAGGCAGGGCAGCGGTGTGGGCAGAGGAGCCCTATCTTCTGCTGCCAATGCATCGCCAGGTGAGGCAGGAGAGTGGGTGGTAGTGGAGGAGAGGGGAGCAAGGGATGAGCCAGTGGAGCACAGCGCGCTCCATTGCCAGGCAAGGCAGAAGACCTTAGCCTCCTCTCCCCTGTTCTCTGCCACTGACTCCTCTCCTGCCTCACCCGGCAGCCAAGCACCAGGTTCCCAACTTCCGGGTCCATCCTGTTTGTATCAGTGAAAGTTCACAACATGAAAGTTTGCAAGTAGGGGACTGTCTGTATATACAGTGGAATAATTGTGACTTCAACAGACATGCCCATTAGTTCTTCAATTATAAAACATATTCTCTTATATCACTATAAAGCAGTGTTTCTCAATCTTGGCAACTTTAAGATGTGTGGACTTCAATTCCAAGAATTCCCCAGCCAGAACTGCTGGCTGGGGAATTCTGGGAGTTGGTCTACACATCTTAAAACTGCCAAGGTTGAGAAACACTGCTATAAAAATAGGAAGGGAGTATTTCAGTTATGAATTGCAGACCCTCTCTTACTAAAAGACAAAAAAAAAAATCTTACAAGAGATAAAAATGCTCCTATGCTTATTTCTAAAAAGAGGTTCTATAATTATAAGCCATTACCAGTCTGGCAGTGGCACTAGGAGAAGACACTATACAGCGTAAACTAAATTGTGTCCTCTTAGATCACAAGCATTTTTTATTATTTTTCTTTTTTAGTCCTTTTTTCTGCATGAAATTTGCATCCCGTATTGGGATCTAAGTGAATAGATGAATTATCAGAATAAAGGCGGCCAATTTTATTTCATGTATTTTATTAATGGTCCCGTTCACTATAATTAGGCACTGTTTTGAAGGATAGCTTGATTAGGAAAAGGACCAAAGTTGAGTTCTAATATTTTGAGTCTTCTCTGTGAAATGGGAAATGCTTGTGATTTATGCATTTATCTCGCATTTATTTCCAGTGTATGTGTATATTTTTTATTGTTTCCAATAACTTTTGCAGTCACACATACATAAAAACACTCATACACACGCGTCTGTACTTTTAGAAGCAAAGCCCCTCTTTTGAACTACTTTCACTCTGAAGATCTCTGATCTGTGCTACTTACCTGTCAGATTAATGTGCTATTTTTCATTCTACACACAAGAGGGCATTCTTGACTTATACTGCTAGGAGTTTATCAGTAATGGTTATTCAATGAAATAATGAATAAACATTTTTTTAAAAAAAATAGTTACTTGCTAGTATAACATTTAGAGCTGCCCAAAGAATTTGAAAAGGTCTCTCAACCTCTTGCAAGGCGCATGCTCAAAATGCAACTGCTTTAACAATTTGAAGAGAAATTTTTCATTTGCACTCTGTTTGTGAAGCACCTCTTTCAAATGACTTTTCAGTGATACTGTATAGCCAAACTCTACAGACTCTCCCAATTTTAACCTCATCTGACTGGTTGCTGCATCATACAAAACAAAGATCTTTGCAATTATAAAACAAGAACAAACCTAGCATGTCTGGAAGAAGGATTCTAGCAGTGCTATCTACTCCAAATGCTTGTTTTATATTTAGGGATTCCCCTCTATCACCATGGTAAATCATTCAATATATGAGACTCTACCTGCTGAAGAAGCAAACAAAAAGCAAGTTTTCCTTTGCGGTGACTTAGTATCTCATGCTAAACAGTAATGTAGTTCTGGTGGTTTTACTTTAGCATCCTGTATGAACCCAGCACTTGACCCTTTTAAAAACAGAACTTATATTACTTTATACAGAAGTGGGCATCCTATCTTTTCTACCTCTGTCAGAAATTCTCCCTATTACAAAACTCTGTGCCATTTTTAGATGAAGTAGTCTGTGTATGTGTCTCTCTCTCTCTCAGATTGTAGGTTCTTCTGAGATCTTACTTTGTTAAAAATCTATACATTCTATAGCTCACAAATGAAGGCAAGAGGGTAGTAATTCACAATGGTTACAGAGTTCAGATATTGATAAATATGGACTAGGTATTTGTCCTTGTTCTTAATAAAAAGAGAGTGGAAGAGAGATAAAGTCCTATTGATGTCCTTTTGATATTTTATGCAGGCCAACTCTGCATTTGATATTTGATATGGTATTTTGTGGAAATCTGAGCCCCACCACAGGGGTTCAACTTCCTAAGACTTAACTGGTGGAGAGAGGGAAAAGGATAGAATGAAGAATAGTGATATCTTCCCTTCCTTACCTTTATTGTGCTTCAAAACTTACAGCAGTATCCTAGCAAACATAGATTAATACAGACAATAGCTCATCAAATGGCTTGATGGAGGAACTCAACTTATATTTTGACCAATAGTCCCTCTTTAAACTGGTCAGTTAAACTTCTTTCATTCCAGCTCACATCCTAAGCTACCAACTGAAAGTCAGCAATAGACCAAATGCTTTTCTTGTCAGAGGTGATGGATTTCGGCTAGCAGTCACTTTCAAATTTAACCCTCAGGCATGTCACAAAATTGGCACAGGTGTCCAAATCCAGATTGTTCAGCTGCACAAAAGGGATTGCCTGCTTTGTTGATTGTTAGGCCAACGATTATTAGGCCAATGATAAATCATATAAAATATTGTTTAGTGGAAAAATCTTAGATCTTAGGAAGAGGCATTATTAAGTGAGAAAGGTAATAGATTTGCTAGGATTCTCATATTTTTCAGACAAGGAAGCAGATACTCAGCATCAGAGGGTTGTTTATTTATATTTATTTATATATCAAATTTGTCACCACCCATTTCATTAAAAAAAAACTCTGGGCAGTTTACAGAGAAGCTAAAATCTGTTAAAAATACAATATAAAATAGACCTGAATAAGAAATAAATATAGTCCAAGAATTGATGTTAATTGGCAAGTAGCTTGGGAAGCGTCATCAGGGCACCAGCCACACCCAGGATTAAGATTCTTGTTGCCCCATGCAAGCTTGCAGTCAGCTCTTAGCTCAATAGCTAAGATAAGATAAGATAGCTACTCAATGTTGAACCAGGATTGGCATGGGAGCACAACTTGGTTTTGGTACTACAGTAAGGCACAGAGGAGACTCGGTCAATTATTAACCATTATTTAATCTTGATATCAAGGTGCTGGCTCCTTTCCCATAGTGTTGGGAATATGAGTATTGTCAGTTATAGCAATAAATCTCAACTCTCCAAAAACTCCATTCTGTATACAGAAACTTGTTTGATTGTAGACAAGACAGAAGCCAGATATGTGCAGAAGATCTGCCTACTGAAGAGCACAGGAAAAAAAGCCCCTTGATTACTGCAGGACTTATATTCTAGTTCTTTTCTTCAGACCTCTTTGAGTCAACAGAAATGTCACCATTCTCTTTCCAGTGCTTACAAAAGTTCTGCCTAGCCTGAGAACTGCTGGTTCTCATCAGCTGCCTTCAGAAGCAGGGAATCAGCCCTTCTTATAAAGTGGGCTCCCACTAAAGATAACATAGCAGGAATTTTCGAATATGTTCCCCAATTGTCTGATAATACACACGTTTGATTCGATAAATAGATTAAATAAATCAGAAAAGAAAATCCATTACATACATGAGTACGGAAATATGTTTAGCTAGTACTTATATTAATCCTGTCCATGTACAAGTCTGTTGGTGTTCATAGCTGTTTTATAAATGTTGATTGGGATTATTTTTGCTACTGCTTTTTTGTTTTGTGTTCCCCTGCCTTTTTCACCATTAGGACTAACTTCATTATCATGTTGCTGGTATTCCAGCTTTTCAGGAAGATCTTAATATGCCAATTAATCACATGGCAGGGATGAAACAATTGAAAAGGTTCTGGACACAATGTAGAAATTGGATATAGAGGAAAAAATGAACTGTAACTCTCTTGCATTTAAATCCTCAACAACCAGAGAACTGTCCAATTTTTGTTTCTTATAAAAAGCTTTTACTTCTGATAGTTCCCTCCCCACCCCCTGCCCCCGGGCTATACATTTATTTATTTTTTTTAAAAAAAACATGCTAATACTTCTGTCTTCTTTAAATCAAAAGTTTT